AAGTGTATGTGAATGATCTTTCACTTGCCCATTAAAAAGAAGCCATGCACACCCAACACATAAATATATAACCCTCCCGTTGCAAAACTAGGAGGAGTATGTGACAAAGAGAAAGCAAGCCAACCAAAATCCAGGATCCCATTTGTCACATAAAAGAGACTCCTATTTATTCTAGGTTTTTGCAGCTCCTATAATAATGGGGTTTTGACTTTAGTAGCTAGGTGCTACCACATTGAGGCTTGACAGTTCAAAGGGAAGGATAGAGATTCACTGATTCACAGAAGTTTAGGGCTGGAAGGGACCTCGTGAGATCATCCAGACCAGCCCCCCTGCTCTGGGCAGGAAAGACTGCTGGGGTCAAATAATCCCAGCAAGGTGTGTGTCCAATCTCCTTTTGAAGATCCCCAGGGTAGGTGCCTGCACCACCCCCACTGGGAGTCTGGTCACATGAACCGTGAAGAAGTTTTATATCCAGACTGATAAGCCTTTGAAATTTGTATTTTGGTGGGGATGGAGGACAGCTGGTGGCCATGTCTTACAGCTGGTCTTTAAGTTGTCAGCACTGAGGCCTTCAGTCAGGGACAGGAGTCACTTGACCTCATAGATTTGTAGACAAATGAATATCCCCACGTAATAGAGCTAGCTAGCAAAGATTACCATAGAGGCAGTCTAAAGACAGGAACATTGGAGTGAGACCCAGAAGTGAGCAAGGAAGTAAAATAGAACCAGTTCTTCCTGTGAGCAAACTGAAAAGGAATAGATACTGGAAGCTATCCTCTATTTTAAAATTAACATAGTTTAAATTCAATAATATTCAGCCATCATCAAGTCTCTAGGCAGAAATGACAAAACATTCATGTCAAACCCTCCAGACCAGCAGCTTAATACATTACAAAAGACTAACTTCATGAGCCAGCCAGCAAACAATAGCTCTCATGTACCAGAAGTAACAGGTAAGTTCCACAAGTGAAGAGAAACTCATGAGAATGGACTCTAGAACAGGAAGCAGAAACTATGCCGAGTCAGAGGAAAGACCACAACTCGCTGCTCTTCAGGAAGGACTGCTCTGTTGGGGAAAGACCACTGCTAATGCAGCAAGCACCGAAACTATGCAAGGGGTTGCACTACAATTTTCAGTCATCAGTTTAATATTGTTTGCAGAAGTGAATAGGAAACAGTGCAGAACCAGTGAATGCCTACATTTGAAACAGCAAAAAAACCATCTGAGGGCTGCAGAAGCAGGGAGAACTGTCCTGAATTTCCCGGAGAAGGTTAAGCTGTAAAATTCTTACAGACAATATTGCTTCTATCCACCACTACTACATTATAATCCAGTAGTAGACAAAAAGTATCCCAGATGGTTGGATGGCAGGTATATGCCCCCTCGAAGTTGGACTCGGATACAAACCCGGCCACACGCTCTAAAGCAGTGGTTCTCAACCTTTTTAGATTCAAGGTGCCCCTCAGAAAATGCCAACTCTTAGCTTTCACTCTTTTTGGTTTTTCTTTTTTTTAAATTATGGAAAAATAAAAGAACAATACCGCTGCAAAGATCTCAGAAAGACTACAAGTCAGAATGTTTGGACACTATAGCTGTAAATGCAGGGGTGTGCATTTGCAGCAGCACAAATTACTACAGTGCACGCCCCACATATGACCTTCATTGCAGGACACACTGTTCCACACTGAAGGGCACATACAGGGGCGTGCACTGAGGTAATTGTCCCACAACAGGCAAACTGCCCCTGCCCAGCTCTTCAGCCAAGGAGAGCTGGAGACTGGGGCCAGCACTGGAGCTGGCCCCACCAGTCTTACCTGGTGGCCTGGAGCAGCAGGGACACAGGCCCTGCAGCACAGAGGCCTGACCAAAAGGCCCAGCTTTCATGTGTGCCAGCATATGCTTGTTGGGTGTACAACATGCTGCTTTTTCTTTAGGGTATTTTTTTTGCTACCAGGAAATCTTGGTAGCAAATTTTGGCCCCACGCTGCAAATATGCAGCACAGGGCACATTTTAACATTCATAACATGCAGTTTGCAGTGCCACAAAGAGGTTTGCGGTGCCACAAACCACACGTGCCTGTACATCTGGATGTAGCCTATGCGTCATTCTATTTGCAATATCTGGACTTAGCTGGTGAATCATGCATAGGTGTTTTCACATTTAACAGGGCTAATATTGCATGGCGTCCCATAGCACCCTTCAAAGGATCTCCTGGCACCCGGTTGAAAAGCACTTCCCTAAAGACTTCTCTTGAGCCATAAATGAAAGATGAGTTTGTGCTGGAAACAGTTTGTACACAAGAGTTCCCAAAACTTGACCAGGCTCACAGGAACTCAGCAGTGAAGCAAACCAGGGGCAACACAGGGGGAGGACACGGGTGCACATGTAGCCCAGCATGGCGGTGCACCCTCTGCAAAAAGGCGCTGTCGACACTGTTGGTGGCACCTGCAGGAGATCACCGCTTGCCACCCCAACACTGTCTGCGGGCCATCCATGATCGCCCCTGGCCGCCACCATCACAGATCGCTGATCCGTGGTCAGAACTTGCCCTCCCTCACTGCCGAGGGCACACGCTGTTCACGAAGCAAACTAAATCTGGAAATTAATTCCCGAAGGATGGAGGCAATGATTTTTAAGATTAGCTATAAATAACTCAATAGGCTAGGTCAGGGGTCAGCAGCCCATAGCATGCATGCCAGAACATAGTATGCAAAAGCATTTTGCTTGGCACCCATGACTCAGGGCAGATGGCAGGGAAGGAGCCAGGGATGCACTACCACAACAAGGATGGGACCCTTTGTGGCTCTCCTGCCATCTGCCCTAATGCACACGTGCACCTGCCACTGACAATAAACCAGACTCAGGCTCTACTGACCCCAGTGCAGCTGCTTGCAGCCTCCCTGCTGCCTGCCACAAGCAACCCGGGATCCGTGGCAGCTGGCAGGGGCCTACCCAGAGCCCAGGTCAGCTGTAGCAGGCAGCCAGGAAGCTGCAAGCAGCTGCATTGGGATCTGCAGACCCCTGACCCAGCTCGCTCCTGGAGTCAGATGCACGCACACCTCAGGGTGGACAGCAGGGAAGGGGCCAGAGCTACGCTGCTACAAGGATCAAGCCCCTCACAGGTCCCTTGGCATGCCACATCTTCCAAGTAGAGGTTGTAGGTGTTTTTGGCACTCTACCCAAAAACCTTGACAGCCCCTGGGCTAGGTCAAGTTGTCCCTGTTCTCTGTTGCCCCATTTTCATTTCTGCTTTAACCAGCCTAAAGGCAGGTGCTGATGGTGATATTTGTTACCTTAAAAATAGGCAACCATTTCAAATCTACCCCTGCCCACTGAACAGTCACTTAATAGGTATTTTGAAGTTGTATATACAACATGCTCCACCCTAAGAGCATATAAACCCATGTTTGTGATACAAACGGATGTTAAGAAATAAATATAAGACATGCTTGTCTGCCCCACTCCTGGGAGTATATTATATTTAGTAGTTTGAGAGTCGGCTCCCTTCACCATCTGCGCTAAAGCACACAGACAACAAATCCAGGCTAGGGTTTGGTGGCTTGAGCCAAGAACCACCAACGGTAAGAGAACAGAACTGGGCATCAACTAGCATTCCTTCCCCAGCATAACTCAAACCATAGCTAAGGCCTCTTTCACATGCTTACAGACTGATAAAGCACATTTAACCTTGTCACAGAAGTGCCAAACCCTATTAATGGAGCAGAGTGTTTCAGCCAAACCTTGTTATACAAGTTGATGCCTAGTTTCTTCATCTTCAATTAGAGGGATTGTCTAACTCTACTGTTTGTGCCAGACACTATTTGCCTTCTAATGTTACATGAGAGAATATTAGTAAATTACACTTGGGGTTAGGATGCTTTGTGTGGAACTGTATACCAAACCTTTGAGATTATGAAATTATTTTGGCAGCAGCATATCAAACACTGATTTCTTGCTCTAATCTAAATCCCAAGAACCCTTACTTGCACTTGATATCAATGTCATTGATATGGAAGGGGACAATGCCTTACAATGGCCTTCACTGGCTTACCTGCGGCAGTGGGATTGACTGTACCTATACTTTCTGCCAAACTCAAAAACCCAAAGGATTTAGTTCTCTTCCCAGGTAAGCCAACTAGCCACAATCTCAAGTTGCATATCAGCAAGTCCAGCTCAGATTCTCTTCAACACAAGAATATTTAATTGGCCATTATATAAATTATTAAAAAGAGCAGCAGTGGAATGGGACTGAATTTTCTCCAAACCCCCACAAAGCAAAGAGCCGTTTCATTCAGTTCAGATGGCAAGATTCACTATTGGAAGGCATAACCTTTAATTTGTCTTCTCAAACGATACAGAGCCTCTTGGATGCTCTAGGCCAGATTACTACATTAAGTAGGCCTTGTTTTGACTTTGGCAGGCTCTAGTCTACCAACACCAGCTATGGATTTAACACTCCACTGCAAGTCTTCATCACCATTCAGTATTATTTTGTTTGCTGGTCAAAATACAACCTTCTCCCTTCCCTCTTTCAAACTTAACATGTGAGGTTACATCTACCTCGCTGTAGCTGTCCTTAGCTCTTAACTCCTGGAAAGAGATGGGAGCAGAGGAACAGATTGTGGCCTTGGCAGCAACTTGCCATGTTCAGGATAAATTTTCAATGACTTCTTTATGAAGTTGGTGTTTGCGAAACCAAATCAAACAGTCAGTCTAGTGAACTGACTAAACATAACTCAAAGGGAAGAAGTGAGATGGAAAGCAAGGGAAGCAAATGAGAGGTTGGCTAAGATGACTCAGTTTCCCAAAATGTGCAAGAAAGGAGTCCCAAGAGAGGAGGCAGCTATGTGTGTGAGGAACAATTGGCCAGCTGAGAACTGGGCTATTTACATGGGTTCTGCTTCCCAAAGGGCAAGGTGTCGTCAGTAAAAGGCTTTTGCAACACATCATATTTTATGAAATTTAGTATTATTTGCATCATATATACCAGCCACTAGAAACTTTGAATTAAAAAGTTTATTCAAAACTGTACATATCTTTGAAGCATGCATCACAGCTCTGCTCAAGTTATCAGATTTTCCAATTATCTTGTCTACAAGACATACTTTCAATAAACAACGTGGTCAGATTATGCCAGGTTAATTACACAGCTATGGACAAGAATCACACATGATGCAAGAACAGCTAGAGAACAAAGAGAACAAAGAATCAACTAAAATGAAGTACATCCCAGGTCACTTTGAGGGATCAAAACAGGACATTCTCTTTGATCAAACGTGTTTATACAACATCATTAATAAACATGTTGCAATAGGAGCCAGAATTTTTATTGAAAAATACCTGTGTTTGCTTCAAATATTATTCAATTATCACTATACCTATAAGGTAAAAACATCAATACAAGAATAAATCTGTTTAGGAGATGGAAGTATTCTCCCCTAGGAGAAAAGGGTCCGATTCAGCAAGATAATCTAAACTACATGCTTAAGTTCCACTGACATCAATCAGTATGTTCCCAAAATGGAAGAGATTTAAGCATTTATTTAAACCCAAGTGTGTACATGAGCACTTCTGCTGAAATCAGAACCACATTCTTCCTCATTAAAGAAAATTATGTACAGAGGGATATTTTCTCCTACACAATCTACTGCTCTGATTAAAGAAAAATCTGTCCTGGTGCAAGAAAATAGGATTTGATGCTGTCCCCATTGATGTCAACAGGATCAGTATCAAGCTTATAGTTACCCCATTACAACTCATCATTTGCTTTAAACTACAATAGCTTTCTGCAAATAAGTACCATTGACAATTGATCCTGCCAATACTATAACCCTGACAATTAATCATTCACACAGTTAAATTAATCCGATCTCCACCAGCATAAAAATCAGAATTCCATGTGCACAATCCAAAAGCTCAAAACTGGAAATACTTGAAACTGGAACAAACCACAAGGTCTGTAGAACTGCATGATAATGCCTTTGATTATATACAGTACTGCTGTGGAAACTGGGGGGGGTGGGGAAAGCTACAAAAAGGTATATAAATAGGTCTTTTAGTTTGAAAATATTAGATTTTCCTAGAAGTTAATATTTATGTGCAATTAAAAAAAGACAAAAACAAATAATAAAAAATATTGCCATCTAATAAATCTAGCTAAATGCAAAAAACAAAAGAATTAAACATAAAAACTAACAACAAACAATACAATTGTCTGTGCCCAGATACCAAATTATCTGCTGTTAAGTAAGTCAGTTTTACCACTGATATTGGGTCCAGGTATCCAGACAAAGGTTCCATATACCTGGGAATCAAACATTCCCATCTGCTGAGAGGAATTTGGATTTTTTATTTATTAATTATAACCCACTATATGATAGTGAACTAAATACTTTTGTTTCATGGAAACAACTAACATTTGCCTCCACCAGGCAAATGGTCTATTTGCAAATACATTAGGACTGCCTAACTGACAGTGAGTGTAAGTGATGAGAACTCCAAGACACATGGAGTCTAATATGACGAGGTTCTCTGCTGAATAGCTTTCCCCTTCAGGATCCGTCTTATCTGAAAAAGACAGAGAGAGAGAGAGAGAGAGAGAGATCAGTATTCACCCTCTGAAGGCCCAAACCTGTGCACTCATAAAAGCAATGCTATCAGCTTAGATTCCAAATTTCAGATGTACAAGTGAATTGCCTTAAAACAACATGATTTTTACCACTGTAACTGAGATTGGAATTACTTGCTTATTTATACTGTAAACTTTTCAGGGCAAGGGTCATCTCCTTGGTATGAATAAATGTACAGTACCTAGCACAGCACTTCCCTGATTTATTACTTGGACTCTAAAATTTATCATAACACTAGCATTTTTTATGGCCTACCCCATATTCATAAGCAAGGAACGAGATTCTTGTTTTTCCATCTACATGAGATGCCTGCTGCGCAGTTGTTACTACACAGTCATTTAGTAGTTGCATAATTAAGTACCAAATGACTACACAGTAACCAGCGTTTCTGCGCAGTAGTGTCCCAGCATGGTTGCCTGGTGATGCTTACTACACAGTAGCTCATTACTACTGCACAGTAGCATCAGGGGTGCTCACCAGGATCTGGGGCAACGTCTGTTCACCGGAGCGCCCCAAGGGATAACAAGGTCGAACGATCACAAACTCCTCCATGACCGTTTTGGGCTGGATGTAAGAAAGAACTTCTTTACTATTCAAGCCCTCAAGATTTGGAATAGACCCCTGCCAGAGGTGGTTCAAGGACCTACTTTGAACACCTTCAAGAAACATTTGGATGTTTATC